TCCTTTGGAGTTTTACAGTGAGCCCAGGACAAGGGTAAGCACTCTATCTATTCTCTTTTGGTATAATAACCTGCTTAGCCAAACTCTCTTCATTTCAAAATTATGACATCTGTATATTCATTGGTTATACAACTATGCTTGGTAAATCTTTTCTTCAGGCAGTTTGCATGTTTTGTTGCTGGTGGTGGTTTGTTGTTTGTTTTGTCTTTTTTCCTCCTTCTATAAAGTATTTTAAGGACTGTGTTTTACTTTCTTCTTCATTACTCCTCTTTTAAGATGATACATTTCCAAACAAAAAAAGTATATGATGAGGCATTCATAGGTTACTCCTTTGAAAACAAAGCCTTCAACTTCAGATTTAATTGTTAAAATAGGCTGTGGGGAAACCCAGCTAGTATGCTTTGCAAGTTTCAAGGGCAAATTTCTGTGGAAGAAAATAAGTAGATAAACAGTTGTGTTGACTGTAGCCCATCACAAAGCTGGATGATGCATTTTCAGGTTCTGTATCTTTCAGTGCCTTCCTGAGCAGCATCCTTCTCCAGCATTAAATAGATTCAAATGCAATTTGCAAAGTTCCAGAGAAAGGTAGCCTTCCCAACCTGAGCAATTCTATGATTGTTTGAATATTCAAGTAACTCTAAGTCTCTAAGCAGAAAGACTGAAACAAATTACAACGCATCATTCACAGGGACTGTGCAATCACACTAAAATTCATCTCGTGGCAAAAATAGTCTCTTGGTTTCACACACCCTATAGAATCGTGCCGCAATAAACATTGTAGACATTGATACAGTGATAAAATTTTTGAAAATCAGTGTGAGAGAAAAGCTGTTACCTATTTGCTTAAATACAGTGGTATTTGGTTGTGGACAGCCTTTCTGTTCCAGCCATCCAAATTTAATCCAATCACAGATTCATCAAAGCCCTTAGGAGTTCATCTTTCAAAATTCCTGCTCTGAATCATCATGTCAGCCCATGGTTGTTTTTAGTGCCATACATATGACTAGGTTTATTCCTAGTCTCCAGTATTTTAACCTACAAACTAACACACTGATTGCAATGCAATGGAGAGCAGCATACAAACCTAGAAATTCCTCTGCAGGTTTGCTTCTCTAGTTTACACCACTCTTCTTTGGATTGATACAGTCCTCCATTGGTCTTGAAGGCCAAATCTTTCCAATATTTCAAATATTTCCAGTGACACCAGTTCACATTGTAGATGTAATTATGGCTTAAGCTCTGTTTGTATGGCTAAAGCAGAATCTCTAAACACCTTTGAGAGAAATTTTGAATACTGATTTTTTTTTTCCTGAGCATAACTGTTTTTCAAAATCATATTAGAAGATGTAATTCATCATAGAAATGACTCTAAAGCTTCTACAAAGCTGTTTTAAAGCAGCGCTCGATCTGCATCATAAACACTATGTCAGAACTGATGTTTTTCTTAGCACCAAGTGTGAAATTTTTATTATGAAGAGCAAACCTCTGCCAGACAATCTCCCCAGAGTATGAACCAGAAAATAAAAATGACACAAGATGTGTTGCTACTGCACACATCATATATATAATGTGTAATTAATACGAGTTTTCAGTTGCAAGAGACAAAATTACATACATCTCCAGGATTGTGTGGCAACTACAACTGACTGGGATATAGCATTAGAGTAGCATTTCCAAAACACTTTAAACTGCTAAAGGGAAGGAAGGCAATTGAGCTTTAGAGGAGAAGCTGGATGTTCACTTAGTTGCTACTATTTGCCAAAACTTACAGCTCTTGAGTTTCTTTGGAAATAAACAACCTTGATAGTTTTGCATCAGAAGTAGATTATAGACCATTTTCAGAACTGTACACACACAGATATTATGACTGTTAACATCCAGGTAATAACTACATCAAGTCATGATTTGATAACACTGTTCCTCAGTGAAGCTTTGACCTCAATTTCAACTTCTGATGACAGAAGAGCATGACATGCTGGTAGAGTTTCACATTTATGAAGACTTGATGTCTTGTCTCCTTATTGATTTCAGTTTAGAGAACATACTCAATAACCGGTTCAAAGTAATCAAAGCAATGAAGATAGACTTACTATCTCCTAGCTGAAGAAGAGGACAGAAGAACACTAGGATAGAGTATACTGTCAATCACAGCCCATATTTTAATGTTTGATATCTTGCTGCTGCTGTTACGCACTTTCTTGTAGGCCACGCAGCAGCTTGTGGTTCTAAGTAACCATAAATGGGCAAGTACAGAAAGGGGCACATTACCAGTTCTAGCCCTCCTCTTCCATAAATACAATAGTTTCTCCAGGGCAAAGATAACAACCCAGATGGAATCACTCAAGAGACTGAAGAGTGTTGACAGGACAGCGAAGGAGATGGGAAAATCATGCAGTTTATAGATTCTGGACTTGCTTTTCTTGAGCAGGTTAGATAATAAGTGACAAATCCCTCCTTAAGCACTGGGGACTCAGATGGAAGTAGCAAAGTAAGTTGAAAATAGCTGAGACAGGTACTTTCCTTGGACCATTCAGGTAATTTTGTAACTCTAATGAAAAATACTGAAAGTGATCCTAGGGCAGATTTCACCACAGCATCATTCACAGGGATTATGTGATCAAAACTCATTTTGCCTCAAAAATAATCCACTTGGTTCTGTGCAGTCTTGGAATAACATTACACTCAGATTTCCAGACATTCATAGCATGATGTATTCTTAGAAAAATCACTGAGAAAAACTTGATCTTCAACAAACCATCAGTAAAAAAATCTTCAAGCTCAAGAATGAGTTTAAATGTCAACAGAAATAGGCAAGTAATTTCTTGATCCTGAAAAATAAACATGGATTTGACAGAGGAGATAGGAGTGTGCTCTGAGTTCTATTCCTTAGGAAAGTAATTTGTCTTTTCTTATTATAACAGTGCATACTGACTTTGAAGTGATGAATGTAAGAACTGCATTCTGAAAAACACAAGAGATCACTGTTTGTGTTCACCTCTGAAGTTTTACAAAGAATTAAGGTTTCCCACCACATGCTATAAAGTTCAAGTGGGAAAGCTGTTTTACAGAAGCTCAGGCAGAAGATTAGACTCCAACCCTGTTATGTCCAAATCGAGTTGCTCAATATATCTTGCTCAAGGAAGATCAGAGGTTCTATCATTTTTTTTGGAGTACGCTAAAACAAAAATAAATGTATGGAGTACACTGATCACCTTCCTGAAAAGGTTATTAGAAAGAATGCAAATGAGTGTTGTGAGTACTGTCTGAACTTAGCTCTAGGCTACTGTTTGAACTCAGAGTGAGAACTCTTTGATTGCACAATTTAATATGGTTTTGTCATACTTAGCATATCCCTTTCAAGTGCGTTTCTGATTCAGGAGAAATATTACCAGAACGATTAGACAAGTTGGTAATTTATAATGACATTGATGCTGTTATTCTAGCTTCTAATTGACAAAACAGCTGAAGTACTGTTAATGTATAGCCTTCTGCTGGCATTCAGATCAATACTGTCACAGTGCCAAGATTAGTACTACTTTACTCCATTAACCTAAAAATAGTTGCTATGCTTCAGTCAAAATTTGACTTCAGTTTCAACTTTCCACATCTGCTAACCCCACGTAGTCTCTAATTTTAACAAAGATTGCTAAAATAGTCTTCTATTGCAGTCTGTCAAAATAAGCAAGGAATAAGCCAATGGTCTTTCGAATTTGTAGATACACAAATATTCCCCATATTGAAATGTCTTGTGTTATCTGGTCAAAATGAATCCCTTTTTCACCTTCCTCAGAATTGAGTTAATGTAAAATATTTATGTATATTGTGAAACACCTTATCAAATATCTTATTCTTTTTGTTTCTGTACCTGCAACATGAAAGAAATCTGTCTTTATTAAACTAGCTTTCCAGGTATTCCACATCACAGAAGCCCTGTAGCACGTGTGATGGAAAACCAATGCAGAGAGGAACATCAAGTTGCACTGCAATCATCTCACCAACACCATAGCTGCACTCATGGGCATTGCTATTCCTTGTAGCAACAGATATTTCCTACATCCTCTGCTGATCCAATCTGTCTACTCTAAAAGCACAACGCTACAGAGAGGTGCGCTGCAAGTGCTGGCTGCCCATATTATCATTCCTCCTCACGTTTTGCCTCTCAAGGTTGTTTTGCTCAGGTTCAAAATACATTGGGAAGGCACAGAAGGGAAGGCGTGGAAGAGACAGAAGGAACGTTATTTGTGCAAGCATAATAGAAAAATTCAACTTACACTGCCACAGAGGGGCATCCCGCTTCCCTCCGTGGGGCTTGGCGCTCCACCCCAAACAGGACACCCACAATCACATAAAACCAACCTTCCGCCTTGAAACACCGCATTGCCCCACGCATGAAAGCCTGGCAGCCTTCCCCGCGCGCAACCACCGCCGCAAAGCGATCGGGCAGCAGACACCGAAGTCGAACCCGGTGCCGGCCGCTCTCCCCAGCCCGGCAGGCCGCTCTCGGCTCCCCGCCACCTGCTGCACGCAGCTCCCGCCTCGCCCCGCACAGAGGCACTCCGCCGCCTCCGCACGGCGACGCAGCCGACCCCACGCCCACCGCATACGCACCGCGGCTCTGTTGTGGTTATAAATCCACCTGCGCATACGCATCGACCCACCGCCACGCATGTTTATGTGCACGACGACCCGCGGCCGCTCGGCGCGCACGGCGGACCGCACGCGTCTGTGCAGCGCAGCGCGCACACGGCCGCGGCCACACCCAGCGCGTACACGCCTGTGGAAGTGCCCGCACACAGCGCTGCTCCTCTCTCACACGCACACATACACACACACAGCACCGCCAGCCCACGCCGCACACACGCACGCAGCCCGCCACGCCCTGGCAGCCCCGCACCGCCCTGTCGCGCCGCCGCTCCCCGCCCTGGGCCCCGTAGCGGCCGGGCCGAGCCTCTGAGACACCGCGTGCCGCTCCGGGGCCGAGAGCCTTGCGGCGGGCTCACCATGGCAGAGGCGCGGCGGCGAGGCCGGTTGTCCTGGCGACGCGGAGCCCCGAGGACGGCGCCAGGTGCAAGGGCTGCGCGCGCGCACCGCCGCCGCTGCCTCCGCCGGAGCCGGGGCGGGGCCGCCGCCGAACCCACGTGACCGGCACCGCCCCTGCGCGGTGGGGCCTCGCGCCGCACCGCCTCCCCCCCCCCCCGCCTCCTCCCTCCCGGCTTGGCGGCTCCTCCCTCCCGCCCCAGGTGGCCGCCTCAGGGGACGGCGAGATGGCGGCCGTGGGTGGGCCTGTCCTCAGCCGGTCTCGAGTCTTCGCACGGGCTCTCCCGCGGCTCCAGCGCTACTCCGTCCCTTCCCGAGCTGTGGTGTCCCAGCACTGGGCTGCTCCTCCAGCCTCAGATTGGGATCTGCAGCTCTCCTACCAGCGAGCCGAGCGCTTAAAAGTAACGCGCGCTGTGTGGAGGCAGCACAAAACCACGCTCAGAGCCGAGGGCAGTATTGTCAGTAGCGCCTACAGGTTACGTCTGTTCAGCAGCCACAATACCGCATACAACACAGAGAAGACAGATAGGCTCTGCTCCTCAGTTTTGCCTACCCCAGCAGGCGCTGCTTTCTGTTGGTGCGACCTCCAGGCTTCCAAAAGACAGAAGCTGCCATTGTAGAAAAACACAAATTTGCTGTTTGGAACGAGCTGCCTTCATTCCTTGAAGAAATGAAACGTTCTGGTTTGTTTAACAACAAAATATGTTTTTTTAGGAAAGTGCCCTTTCTCAGAACCCAGAGGGAAATAGTTGGTGTGCACACACACCGTTTGTTGGCACTTCTCTGGACCTACTGTCTCACCCTCCAGATTTCAGAGAATAACCTGGTTCATACGTACAGCTGATCTGGTTTGTATAGCAGGGAAGAAAGCCTCAGAAATGTGAAATATGTATAAACAATTCGGACACGTTCAGCTGAATTGCAGGAGGCCTAGGCTAGCAGTTTCTGAATCCTACTGCTTCACATTAAAAAAAAAAAATTAAAAAAATGATTGTCACGTGATTTTTAGTTCAGTGTGAATTTCTGGACTCTCATAAAAATAGTGATAGATTTTCCTATCACTACCATAAAAAGAAAGCAATTTAAGGAGCCAGAATCAGAGTTGCAGCAACCAGAAGAAAAAGAGATCGTATTTTACAAAAACAAGAGACCTTGCAGAATAATAGCTGCATTTGTTTCAGTGGAGTTCTGAGTAACTGGCCCAATAGGGATCTCTTTGAAGCAAGATGAGAGACAAATGTGGAGCAGGCTTTCCATGGCCCAACATCAGTTCTTATTTGATCAAAAACTCTGGGAAGGAATGGAACATTACAGAATAGATTTGAACCAATATTTTATGTATTAAAAGGTTGTAGGAGAGAAAAATCCTTGTTTCTTCCCTCAAGAAAGAAAAGGCAGTTATGTATTTGCCACCTGTCAATGTGCGTAGGATTTGAGAGACTGAAAACTTTTATCTTTGGATCCAGACCAACTAATGATGGTATAGTGCTGCACCTACTGACTTTCTGGACTGTTTTTTTCCTTTTGAACTGCATTGTGATATAACTTGAAAATTCAGTCCAAGAAAAGCTTACTCAGAAAAACCCAACCCTTTAGATAGGCTTCAATTCTGACAGACAAGCAATTAGTTGGGAAGGAGACTTCAGAAATGTGCATGCATCTTGGTCTGTCTTCTCCATTTGCCATCTGTGGAATGTGTCAGCATCCCCATTTGAAGTGCAAAGAGAATATATCCACACTTAGTGTCTTGTTTTCAACCGATGCACTGCAGTGCTGTTGATAGAAAGGATTTCATTTGAAAATTTTCATCCAACTCGAATTTTATCATTTTTTTAAATGATCAGGTTTTTAGCTAATGACTTACACTGGTCATTCTAGAATGTCTGGTTAACTAAGCTATTATTGATGTATTTTACTTTCTTAAGATACGAAACTGTATTCAGCAGCTCAGCTTTAACTTGGCTGCCTTAAGTTCCTCCTAATCGTTTTGACTCTCATTAAATGCTGACCCAGTTCCCTTCTTACTTGCTTTTTTTTTTTTTTTTTAAACCAAACTTAAAATAAGTGAAAAATGATTTAAGTACTTGCCATGGAAAATGAACAAATGTCAACTATAAGAGGGTGGGTTAGTTTGCAGAGAGTGTAAGTGTTTAAAGCAGAGGGGGTTGATTCTGGAGGTCTTGCTCTTCCTAAACAACAGCTTTGGGGCCTCTATGCTGTTAGATTCTGCAGCCCAGAAGCGACTTTCAGATTCTAGAAAATCTTTGCAACAGTCTTTTAGTAGCCCAGCATTGCAGACTGAGCTTTATTTCTGGATTCTTGCCATTTCATTCATTCTTTCCCCAACTTCAGTCCCTAACCACTGAAGATTTCTGCAATCATATTGTTTCCCAACCTTGCCAGGCTACACTTACTGAGTGTTTGGAATGCAAGAGAAAACTTGCCATGCAGTAGTTTCTTCTATACTGGTCGTTTGATTGCCTTCGAGTCTAGAACTGGTTTGGTATTCTTAGCAGTGGGCTCAATCTTATAAATTTGCATAGAATTTTTTTCCAGGAATTTGCCTCACTAGCTGTAGGATCTTGGTTTGAAGCAAAGTAATTACTTGTCTTGTCTTACTTTTCCTTCTGTTTTTCCTATGTCCTTTTATGCAAGTCAAATGAGAGTAGGTCCTAGAGATCAGGCACCACAAATTAAGGATGCAGCAGTTCCTGCCTATTTATTACAACTCCTACTTCCACAGCACACCCAAGGCTAGTAGAGCTTACTTGATGGTGCATCAAGCAAATTTGTGCTGAGACTGTTGAAGAGCTCACTTAGGATCTTGTTAACACAACTCAGCCGTGAAGGGCTTTAACTATAAGTGTGAAGGAAAATGGCTGTAAGTGGTTAACTTTTGAAATTACTACAGTGGACCTGAAGCTCATCTTTTCTTCAGTTAAATGATTGCAACAAGAAGGTCCATATCTACTAATTGCCATTACAAGTAAAAATGGTTGGGGGAGATACCATGTTTCTAGGATGCTTTTCTGGTATGTTGTACATGTTCACACTGAAGCATAAATAGGTGGTGTTTTAATGTCTGACATAGCCTTTCATGTGCTGTACCATCAGGACTCACAGTGAGACTTCCCAAATTGTTTTCTTTCCCTGAGCAAAGCACCAGCACATGCCAGCTCTGTGCCGTGATTTATACTTCATGGTATTGCTGTCTTTTTAGAAGTTGTTTTTCTGCTACTAGTAGTACACTCAGTGTAGGTTGGGAATATCCTGCCCTACTCAGACAATTTGTTGGTATGCTAGCTCCTCTCAGCAAAATGTTAACAATAGTAAATCTGCTGTCAAGATCTTTCCTACTCAGGAAAGTAGAGGGAAGTGAGCAGATCTTTAGCTGAGTATACCAGAACTGACTGCCATTTGGGTAGTAGTGGTAGGATTGACTACCCACTTGGGTAGAATCAAACAAGTACCTCTATGCTTTTCTTTCCTGAGAGGGACCTGAGCAGCGCTCAGATTGTATGGAGCTGTCAATGAGGGAGAGAATTGTCAAGAAATTGGGAGCTACTCACAGTGATATCCTGAATATCTTATCAGGAGTGGCAAGTCGCTTTTACTTAAGTTCAATTTGTTTGAAGGAGTAGGTGGGTTGTATTTTTACACTATTTTATGTGTACAAAACACAAAATGAAAAGTAGAGGACTACTGAGCTGGTGATTATTTAAATAAACTTGCATACACAAATACTCAGAACTAGAGAGCGTTCTCCAAAGGTGCTGAAAGAGGTGAGCAGTATCTTTGTGAGGCCTCTATCATCTTTGTAAGATCATGGTGATCCCTGAAAACTGGAAAAAGTCACACTGAACTTCAAACCAGCAGAAAGGTCCAGGGAACCACAGACTCTCCTTAGTCCTTGCAAAACTTACAGAAGAAATCCTCATGGAAAGTGCCACGTGAGGATACGGCAAGGTGACATGAAACTTTCAGCAGATGAACTCTGACCACTGTGACTGTTTTTTAGGATGAAATGACTATGGATATGGGGGGAAGAACATTGTCAAGACATTATCTTGGCTTAAGTGCAGCCTTCTACGCAGTTTCTCATAGCATCCTGGCATAGTGACATAATGCATCCTCAACCACTTCATTCCTGGATTGTGAGGAGCAGGTAACATGCTGTCAAATTGGCAGCCATTCAAAGGGAACTCTACAAGCTGTGGAAGTGGACTGACAGGAATCTCAGGCCATTTAGCAAAGGCAAATGGAAAGTCCTACATCTGGGATGTAGTAACATCCATGATTACACAGGCTGGAGGCTGGCTGGCTAGAAAGCAGCTCTGTAGGAGGGCACCTGGGCATTCTAGTTTACAGTGAACTGAACACGAGTGACAAGTGTACTCTGGCAGCAACAAAAATTGCAGAGAGGTTGAGGGATGTGATTGTACCATCTACAGCACTTGTGAGACTACTTTTGAAGTGCTGTAAGCAGTTTTGTGTCCTGGTTGTCAGGGAGGTGTTGACAAAATGGAGAGTCCAGTAGATGATCACTGCGTTGCCTTCCAAGAGTCCATCAGACATCATTTTCAGAGTCCATTTTCATCATTTCAAAGAAAGTGTGTGTGGCAACTTTTTTATAATGCATTCTCAGCATCTTGATCTTCTTTTATGTTCTCATTATCTCAGAAAAATTCAAAGAGTTGCTTTTAAACTCTGCTTTTAAAGCGGCAGTTAATTACTTTATACAAGCAAAAAACAAAGATTCAACCAGATATAACAGTCTTCAAACTTTACCATAATCACTCGAATAATAATGTTTGACAGTTGTTATCTGTATGTGAGACCTTGATAAGCCATGGCACCTGTCCTACAAGAGCATACTGTGGCTGATTATCTTCATTTACTGAAGTAGTTCAGCAAGCATGAAATCTGAGAGCTGCTATAGAAATTTTGCCATTTGCAAATCCAGAATTTTCCGTACGTATGCTTCTTCTAATGTGGTATATTTGAAGAATTTCAGAGCACATTTTCATTTGCCGTACAGTTTTGACAGAAGAACCTCTGCGTAGGTGCTTTTAATTTAATTT